CTGCAAAAGAAATCTCAAACCTTAAAATAATCTACAACAGAAGGCTGATGTTAAAAGTCTAAAATGAAAGCTCATCAGGCTGTCAGTTATTAATACCGCAGTAGGTACACACAGCGTCAAATGTTTCGCCTTAAAATGAGCATTTTAATAATAAGATTTCTGCACTCTTATATACGGTTCTTTCCCATTTAAGATACGAGAGCCTTATGCCATTGTGGTAGTACCTTTGGGCAATACTCATTCATAACAGATAGTACAGTACTCTTCTTGCTATGATGGACACATGTAGAGGAAGAATTGTCAGCTATAGCTGTACCAATTAGTTTTTTTCAAGTCCCAAAGCACTTGTATATGAGAAAAAAGTATATATGTGTACTGTATACGCTGCTCTATAATTGATCCAATAAGACGAGTAAACTGGTAACATGTCATGCACACAAAGGTCATTAAGACCATGTGATACCTGCTACCAACCTCAGATGCACCTTTCATACATGTGTAAAAGCACACATTGAGGTGCATGTTTTCAAGAGTTTTTCCATTTCATTTGTAACCTGACCCTGCGGTCAATGAAAATTGTTACAATCCACTGTACCATAGTAGGTTTATAATCTACTGTATAATTGCGGTCGTCAATATGCAAAGATCAATAAAATGTCTACAGAAGTTTAAAAAGAACCACTGTAAGCAACAGACACACCCCTCTAGTGCACCAATCCTATTCTTTCCTCTTTAATCTAATCCTTTAACATATTTCTAACAAACCTATGTACTGTACACTACTTTCTACCTTCTTAAATGTATATGAATGGATCATTTCACATATCAGTTTTCTTATCTGTTTAACAAGACCTAAATGTTAATCACTGTTCACCAATGACGCCCACTCACCTGTGTTATTACATATTCAATGTATTTTACAACTCTTTTTCAGCATTTAATTTTCCTAATTTGTTCTTATTTAAAGAGAAACCATGTTTAGCCTTAGAGTTACCCAATAACTACAATACTGTATTGTAAATTATACTTATGACTGTATTTATTGTGGAATAATTGGCTATTTACTGATAGCCGGACACTGGCTGACATTTTGAGGGTAGTCTGTTGTCATGTTGTCAAGAGCCACCGAACTTTGTCTCTCCTCTTTTGGGGAGACCGCTGTAGTCATAACTCATCACTTTTCCTTCACCAAATTTTGTCTGTTCCATCCTATATACGTTAAGGAAAGAAAATACTGTAATTAAGTTGTTGATTTCACCTAACAGCACTACATAGGTAATAAACTGATTTAACACAACTACCATCATCTTCCTCTTTGGTCTTTACTGCCATTAAAACTAGCTGTCACTCTGTGCCTATCCCATCGCAACAGTTGAGTGGTTTTTCAATGCTGGTAATAATTAATTTACTTTTTTGTCTCACAGTTTTTCTAAGAAAGCTTTTTCTGAAGTCCTTAAAAAATGTCAATGACAGGATAATTAATTTAAAAGAAGGGTCATATCCCGTTGTCCAATAAAATAATTCACAGTATAGCCCCCTTTGACACTTTAAGCTTGTCCATTTGGCTATGCACTACCCTAACACTCCCTGTACTTGAATAAGCCGCTCACAGGACAGGATTTAAGGTATTTTATAAATTCCCAATCCACAAATCCATTCGAAATTCTGGTCCCTATTCAGAAAACAGTTAACCACCACCTTACGTTCTGATGCAGTTTATATTTCCCTCAGAAGCAATCAACACATCACAGAATTCACACATCTTTTTAAAATATACATTTACAAGTCTCCACAACCAAACCAAATATTTTGGATTTTTGTCTACAAAAAGAGTTGATTTTGTCCCTAAAAAGTTGTCAGTCTAGGTTCACTTCACCTACTCTGAATATGACTGTCTGACCAATTATTGCAGTAAATTATTTACAGTGTTTATTACTGTAAATCCTCGATTTAATGGACCTCAGATTTAACAGACAGACTTTTAAAATGTTACAATAATGGGGAAATTTACAATAATACAAAACAAGGTAAAAAATAAATACTACATAGGCTTAAATTCAGGAATGTCAATGGTGCCCTGTAAAATTAGGCCAATAGCTTACTATAAATGTATTTCATATGATTTAGCAAATTGTATACAACATATTTTCCGACACATGAATAAAGACCTTGTATAGTTATTGCAAAAAAGGCACAGGAGCGGTTTTAACTAAGTTGTTTGCAATTGTTAAAATAGGTTAGAAGACCCAGAGAGCATATACTGTATAAAGAATTCATATTTTCTCATATAACAGTGATCTGGGGACTAAAAAGGGTCATTAGTGATTTAAAACAAATTTTGGCAATAACAAACTCCCTATCTCCCATATAGTCCATTAAGTTAGTTTACTGTAAAAATAGATTTGAAAAAAAAATCTATTTGATTTAAGTCTCCATAAACAGGCCAAACATCTCTTTTAGTGTTTTTTTTTATAGAAAGCCTGTTTTTTTCCATACCCAAAAAGGTTTGCTGAGCTGAGAGTGAAAGAAAATACTCAGAAATTATGACTGCTGTGGTACTGATTTTAAAAATAGATTTGAAATTGCTTACCTTTTCTGTTGGTACATTTCACCCTAACTTTATTACTACAATGCTCCAGTTGAACAGTTCTGTAGCTGCATTTTGTTTTTTAGTGATGTGCAATTCTAAGGGACGCTTTTAAAAATCCATATTGCAGGCCTATCTCAGCATTACACAGGCTTTTAAGCATAACCCTCTCCAATGGGCTTTGGAGAATTATGAAACACTAATTTGCTCTTCCTGCACACTTCCTAGCAAAAGACCTTGTAATAGTTTTTCCAGAAGCTACTTTTTCTAGACCATTATTGCTGCACTGAACAGCTAAAATACTCAATACAATACATATAACACAACATAAGGCAGGAACAGATTAATTTGTCTCTGACCAAATCCACAAAGTATTCCCAATGTAATGATGGCAGTGTCCAAATTAACAGTAACCTTGAGTATGCAAGGACCATGCCTTATCTGAAGTACAGAATATCAGATTCACATTTTGGGATTGAAACAGACTTTATATTCTTGTATCTTTACAGCAACTTAATGACTGCTGCTTTTCTTGTTCAACATTGGTAGGGTTAGACTGATTGGCTGTAATAAACTCACTCAACTACATTCAACTACTTTATACAGGAGAAAAGTGAAGAAGAAAACGAAACACCAAAAGATGGGGCAGGGCCTGTATTCACTCGTCTTTTGTTGTCAAAATGCCATTTTAACACAACTGACTCAGTTCTTACAGTTGTGAGTCAAACAGTGACTCACAAATTCCTTGACTTTCTCCAGGAGTCTCAGTGGCAGACTAAAATCCCTTTCTTCCAACTCTTGGCTGGAAATAACACTTCAACGGACAGCAATTTGAACAATTCCAGGTTTCACTAAAAAGCTTTATGAGGCTCTTTGTAGACTAACTGCAGAAGTCACACTCTGTGCAATTGAGATGTCTCACAGCAAAGCATCGATTACTTCTGGTGCTGTGAAAGATGTGACTTTCTTTTTCCCCATTCCCTTTAAAGTTCAAAGCCTTTTACTGTAACTCTGTGTCACCTTGCAGATTTGGCACCCATAAAATACATGATCCGTGGCTTGGCATAATGTTGCTAATTTTCCAGATGTTTAGATGCATGCCAACCCACTCCCACACTTCCCTCTAATGTAACCAGTCAGAAAACAATTTTAGAAGAGAAAACTGTAATTATTCATGTCCAAATAGTACCAAAAGGTTACAATTTCTTACGCAAGAAAAACATACTAGCTATTTATCATTAAGTTTTGATTCCACTCTCAAATAAAACCTTATTAAAGACTGGCTTTAGTAAGGCAGTACCTTGTGAAGGTACTAAATTCTAGATCTTCTGTTGTAAACTGAATTTCTCCCTGTTCAGAACAAAAACATACACAAACTTGAACTGGTCAAATACTTCCATCCTATACACTTATAAATGAAGTCAACGGCTATCAAAAAGATAATTATCCCCTGAACACGGGGGATTTGCCAACTTTCGTTGAGTCACAAAAGGCGTTGGGCCAGTTTGTGAAGCCGCGAATTCCTCCGTCCACTCCTTCAGCAAAGAAGGAAACTGTCACCTCCTTCCCACTTCACTGGGAAGAAAAAAAAAAGAGGTGGGGGATCTTAAATGCCGAGAATGATGGTGAGGAATGCTAAAAAGTATGTGTGTGTGTGTGAGAAGAGGGGGTGGGCTGTGCGGGAGAGTGCGAGTAAAAAAAACCTAAGGGACCCACCGTCTGACAGATTTGGTATGCATGACTGAGCAGGGAGAGGAAAAATGTAGCCCTGGCTTCTTAACTTTAAGGAAACAATGGCAACTACGCCGACTTTCCTTTTCAAGGCTTATTCCAGCACTTCTCGTAGAGACAAAATGCGTCGTAATCGTGGACCAACCTCCACGACGCGCAACATAATTTCGTCTCGGCAAATGAAAACTTAAATGAAAACGGTCCCTGACGCTTTGCTTGTTTTTAAGATGAAAAAGCTCACAAATACAAACGGGCTGTGTCGTGTTGCGTTATCATGGAGCTGTAAGGGTTAACGTACTTTCCTCTATACATAACAGGAGCAACAATGTTCTGCTAACTTGAAAATAATTTAGGTTGACGACACTAAACTTTAAAATGGTCAAAACAAAGAATGCCACAAAATCATCCCGGTATTTTCAACAAAAAACGTACTTTCCATATATGTAGTCCCGCGCAATGATGATGGAAATGTTGCAAGGTTCTTAAAAATATTGAACATACGAATCAGTATCAATAATACAAATAAAGTGTTTTCAAACCTAATCTCTTTTACTCGACTTAAATCGCTTGCGATGCTAGGAAAGTGAAAAACAAAACATTTTTCAAAAAGATACTTCATATTTCCCGTCTTTATTATATAAATATCAGCTTTAATGTTTACTGTAAGAATATAAACAATTTAAATTTTGTGATTTTTTTCTCTTTGCTTTTTTGATTTTTTTTTACAAATTCACATACAGTACAATTCAATACAGTAGCTTCTCAGCAGGACTCAAAAAGATGTTGCAGGTCAAAACATCAAGTTACATAGGCCTGACACGCATTCGCTTGTTACCCTAAAAAAATATCAATTATTTCATATTTTATCTCACCCTCCAATCTCCCCATTTTGCTTTAAACAAAACACAACTGGATGTATTCACAATAATGAAGCCGGCTTTTTTGTAGTAAGGGGGAGTTAAACCAGCCCGTTTTTCTTATTCAAGTGCAAGCACTCAGTGAACAAGAAACAATTGATTTAAAAAGGGTATTTTAAAGAAATCACTTCAATTTGAAGTATGATGCTCTGAATTACAGCTTTAAATTTAAAAACCTGCTTATACAAGCATAACAAATAAGATAAAGAGACCCTTATCATTCAAAGCATGAATTAAAGGCTTCGAGGCCTGTTGTGCTAAAACAAAAAAAAACGGAGGCTTTCGTATCCAAAATCATTTTTTACGTCTTTGCATAAATTGTTTTAATCTGAATAAAGCAGGCTGTGCTTCGAAACATAATTTTTACTTCTGCTAACCATCCGAATGAGACTAACAAAAGTAGGTAGCTAAATAAAACCCATTCTTTTTGCGTTTCTGTGGAAAAAGACGATGTGGGGGAGGGGTTTTTCTCTTCTAGGCACAATTTGTCAGTCTCCGTTTCTATTTAAAAAGAAATCCCAGGCTTATAAAAAATAAACGAGGTAGCCAAAATGTTTTCAGACTTGATACATTTGGAGAAAAAAAATGAAGTAAACAAAACGTCGTGACTTGCTTTAAATATTCGAAATGTTTTTTAAAAGTTTTTCTTAAAAAAAAACAATGAGTTACCGTAATTTAAAAAGAAATGGCATTTAGGTGATACATTACAGGCATAGGGAAATGAAATCACATTTAGATTTTTTTTTTCGGAATTAAAATGTCACAGTTTTGTCGTTTTAATATGTAGTTAAAATGTTTAACGCTTCCCACGAAGTCCAGCAAACATGATAATTATATTTTAATGCTGAAAAAAATCCCCCCCACCTACACCCCCTCCTCCCCCTTCCCCTTTCCCACTAAAATCTCCCAAGTTTCACCTCACTTTCTCACTTTCGGTCATCTGCCAAAGCCCCAGGTTTAAAACTTTAAGGCAAGGGAGCTGCGTGATCCTTTCCAGTCCCCTTTTAGTAATTTTTGTACATCCATAGAGATCTATTCCAGTCAGCTGAGTTAAATGATCGGCAATGAGCTCCAGTCCTTTGTCTGTAATCCGCACGCACTGGCCGATGTTTAGGGTCCTTAGTTCGTGCATCTGCCTCACCATCCTGTTGATACCATCGTCACTGATGTGACAGGAGCACAGAGACAGAGATTTGAGCTGGTACAGACCCTGGGCGATATACGCCAGGCTCTGGTCGCCGATCTTGTCGCAGAAGGACACGTCCAGTCCTGACAGCCTCAGAGTGCCCATCGCCAGATGCATGATGCCAGTGTCACTGATGTTATCGCAGGACCTCAGGTTAAGGCTCCAAAGGCTGGTCATGTGGGACAGATGGATCATGCCGGCGTCCGAAATCCCCCCGCAGAAGCTCAGGTTGAGCACCTTGAGCTTGGCCAGGCCCTTCGAGATGTGCTTGAGCGACAGGTCCGTCAACTTCTGGCAGTCCTGTAAGGTCAGGTACTCCAGGCTGAGGCAGCCCTCCGCCGCGCTCCGCGTCATGCCGGCCAGGTGGCCGATGCCCACGTCCGAGACATGCCTGCAGCTGCGCAGGTTGAGGCTCTTGAGCCGGTGCAAGCCCCAGGCGATGAGCAACAAGCCCGTGTTGGTGATGTTGCTGCAGCCGCCAAGTTCCAAGACCTCGAGGTTTTTGAGATACTGGGCGATCCTGCCCAGGCTGGAGTCCGTGATCTGCTTGCAGAGGCTGAGGTTGAGGACCCTCAGCGACGGTATTTCCTGCACGAAAGCGTGGCCCAGGCCGTTATCGGTTAAGTTGTAGCAGCCGCTGAGGTTCAGGCTCTCGATATTTGGCATCCCCTGGATCACGTAGCTCAGGCTGCGCCTCAGGCTGAGGATCTGCACTCTCCTGATCCCCCTGGCCTGCAGACTGGGGAAGAGAGACGGGTTGGCCCTCCTTAAATGCAACTTAGCTTCAACTCCCCTCCAGACCGACTTGTGGTATGAAGCGTCTCTCCAAGCCGTGCAGACTTGGGCTACCCTACCTTTGTCCCTAACATCCAAGTAGCTGAAAATCATGGCTAAAATTTCCGGGAAGAGGCACGAAATGTGCGTCTCCATTTTAGACCTGCATAAAAAAAGAGAGATCTGTATTTCGGTTAATCCAGCCCTCTTGTGTTTTCTTCCGAGTTTTGCGATCTTTTGTAATCCGATCAAACGTCTCTCCCTTTTTTCCCCCTCTTTAGTCACCTTTCTCGGTTCTTTTTTTTTTCTCCGTACATATAATTTGTGCAAATCGATCAACTCCACGTCCCACGTGATCCGTCTGGGTTGCGCAGTAGGATTCAAAACGGGAGAGAGGAAAAAAAAAAAGCCCCCCAAAAAAAGCTAGTTCCAATACAATCCTCAACCAAAGGGGGAGAAATAGCGAGCGATCAGACAGCGCTACCCACTTTGTCTTGTGATAGCCCTTCGCGTTCTCCCCGGGGATCCAAACGGTCGTACATTTTCGAAAAGAAAAAAAAAGAAAGGAGAAGAAGACCTTGTACAATCACATTAATACAGAAAATAATTCCGCGCCGGTTCCAGCGTCTCTTCCTATCGCAATCGTGGAAAAACGAGAGGTTTCAGTTTGCTTTTGCGCTCCGCTCGCACGCATTGCCAAGCCAAGGGGCTTCCTGCTGCCTTTGTCTGATCTTTTCAAACTGACTTGGCAGGGCCGCTAGCACCGCGTCGCCGCGGGGGGCGGCGTCTCTGGTAAGCGCACAGAAACCTTGCGTTTTTTAAAAAACAAAGTTGAACTGTTAAAACGTATTCGGAAAGAAGTACTTTAAAACGAACTCAAACCCACTTTCGCTCCGACAAAACTATTTTAACTACAACACACTTTCCGGCGTGCTCCTGCTCTCCCCCTTTCTGTCAAAGGCTGTTGGTTTTTCCCAGCTCAGCTGGAACAGTAAGAATAGTTCCCCTGGAAACCAACTTCTTACAATTCAGTTCACTTTACTCTTAACCCTTAACGGAAGGGGGAAGATTTTATTGCCTGTGTTGTTAAGCTTTTTATTTAATATAATATCTTACAGCAAATTGCTAACTGTCTCGATCTAACCCTCCCTCTAAACAGCATCCTATTTTCCATTGTCATTTCTGTTGTTCAGTGGTCGATTTCCGTTCAAAGTGACACTTTTTAAAATGCAAAGTTAAACCGTGACTACAAAATAAGAAAACAAAGTATACTAGATATTGTATAATAACATCTAAAATCTCCGTAATGCCAATGACAAGAGTGTTGTCATATACATTACAGAGCTTTTAGATGTTAGTAAGACGAAAGAGTAATGTACAAATGTGATTATTTCGACGTTGTCTTTATCTAAATATTAATTGACATTATTTCAAAAATATTTAGATTCATTTGATTTGGAAGTAAAAAATACGTTCTAAATGAGTCAAGTAATGCTAAGGTGCTTTAAATTAAAATGAAAAATTAGACCTTTTCTCCTAAATAATTTATGAAAAATTGTTTATGAAAATGTTTAATATGAAGGGACTCAAGTTAGAAGGGTAACACTTGAGAATTTTATGATTTGTTCAGCAGTGAACAAATTTTCACTGTTTTGATCTTAAAAGTTGTGTGTTATTCTGTTTGGTATGCATAACAAAAATGAAAAAAAAAGAACTTTGTAAAGTGCAGAATTACATTTAACGTTTTTAATAACATTGAATAACCTAGCCATTGTTATAGATCAACACTATTCAGACATTTCTATTTGTCCTCACAAAAACACTCAACTTTTACGCTTTTCAGTCATACTAGCCCAAGGCCCATATCCTATTCCATTAACAACGTTTTAAAAAATACAACAAAACTTTATTACTTAAAAATGCAAATACTTATATATCGTATTGTATGCTTTGTTGGCCTAGTAAACATTGATGGTACTAATTTCCAGTCTTGATGTTTGTTTTGAGCTTGAGAGAAGACTGAATGTAACTTCAGTCATTCCTTCCACTACTTGGCATCTGTAACCATGTTTTGCAAATGAAAAATAAAATGCTTAAAGCAATCAAGGAAGACGTGGGAAAGGAATGGGGAAGTCTAAGTCTCAAGACCAGATAAATGAAAAGCAGTATGTGTATCTCACAGATTTTTACACTATATTACCCTCCTCCAAAGCCGTGTCTACCTTCCTTATTAATTGTTTTGTGTTGTTAGTGGCTTGAATGTTTTCATGTCCGTATTTGATTAAAAAGAAACATCCAATGTACAAAATGAATAAACCGATCTACATAATGTTTATGTTAGACATGTTTTGCTTCTCCCCAAAACTTTGTGTGCTCTTGGTCAAAGACCTTGTTGCATCTTCCCTGTTGTTTGGAACAATTTTCCAGATATTTTAAGAACTGCAGTTATATTATTAAGACTTGGGCAGTGTTTAAGCCCTCCCTTGTTTTTGTTGGCCAGTACATCTGTTTGGCTGTTATGATAATATTTCCCCTTGCTGGACCTGAACTATTGTGGTGAATATTAGCTTTTATTGAAAAAAGCTCATGATTCTGAAATGTACTGCCTTATATTGTATAATCTTCAGGGATGTCTGAACCATTTCAATAAATATTTTCTTTGACATATGGAACATTTAGGTATTGCACTCGCTGTCATAAAACTGCGAGCCTTTGTGAGGTTGACTCTTTTAATTAATACTGCACCCCAAAAAAATATAACATTAAATAGAAAGTTATTGTTCAGTTTCACCTGTCAAATAAGCCCCTGATCAAGCTATTACCACTGTTTCAATGCTGTTTTGTCTGCAAATTCTGTGTATTTACATTTGTAAGTTAGGACGATGGGAAACTGTTCGCAGAAACAGCTCGAGTGTAGCAAAACAGAAGAAGAAGAGAGAAGGGAAGCTATACAAACACATTCACGCTTGCAGAGGAACAAGCAATGCAGCAGAACTGACAGCAGGAATCTTTTTTTTTCCTTTTGAATATTAACATGCGGGTCTTTTGGAAGCTAATTCTTAATTGTCTTTTCTTTAATGTTCAGGTTGGGACACTTGCAAAGCCTTTGATTTAAGAAAGCAGAGGAATGTCAGTACCTTCAACACCTTTGCACACAACACTTGCAGAAATTCAAGGCTGTCTATCATATGCGAAAGAGCCCAGCTCTCTGACATTCAGCTCTGACAGTGTGCGGAAGACTGTGTGTTTCTTGACAGCTCCGCATGTTAAAAGTGTTCTTCTCTCTGACCTGGCAAAGGCAAATCCGCAGTAACGCTCTGGAGTTGGGTGTCTGTGGTTTTTTCCACCTGAGGCGGTTTTAGATTTTTGTCTTCTGCTCAGATGTATCAGGCTGTAAAAAAAAAAATCCCAGGTAGACAAGTGCTACATGCAAATTGGAGGTGTATCAAACAAACTCCAGCTTGTTTCCAATGCAAGGGAGGAAGATGATTGATTGTCTGCCATGCAGTGGATGTTTAAAGGATTGTTGTGTTTCCTTGCAAATGTTTGCTGGGGTTCTTGTCAGTTTAAAGTAGACCCACTGTTGAAACATTGCTAGTTTTTATGTCACGTCTATATTTTAAGTCTTCAATGCATAACTAGGGTTCCTAAGTCTTCTTATCTTTCCATTTACAGACAAGGACATGAATATGGATTGAGCAATGAACAGACAAAAGTTGAAAATGTGAAGCAACCAAAAGTAATGTGAAAAGACAACCTTCTGAGTAGTTTGTGCTACGTGTGACATGTGATATTCCCCACCCAGAAAAGTCAGATGTATTTTATGATGCTTAATCCTTTGCCCCTACTGCTTGAAGAGAAGTATTGACAATGTGTCTTACACCCACCATTTATGACTTTCAACTTTTGATTATATAGTATTTAACCCTGGTCACCATGGGACTACACTTTCTGACAGGTCTTTCTGACATAACAGCAAAGTGTCTTTCATCAGAGGTGGTGTGCACTCTTTAACTATTTACACTCTTCTTCTTGCTGTTCTAAGTCTCTTGCACTGTTGCCTCTGTATTTACATCTGTCTGTAATGTCTGATCCTCAGTATTTACCCCACAGAGTGTGTCTTTTTCCTTTAGATAGCTCACCCACAACTGAGCTACAGAATGGTAAAACTCAAGTAAACATATGTATTTAGCCCTCAAATTTAACGACTCCAGAAGTGAACTGTCTTAGTCCAAAGAAAATAACTTCAGTATGTAACTTCAGTAGGGTCTTCAAGGGAATTTCTTGGAATTAGGTCACACATTGTGAGATGAGACTGCTTTACTTAGTAAAGGAGATAAGATATCCATTCTGTATGTATACCTCCTGACTTCAATTTCAGTTAACACTTGATTTTTGTTCTTTTCAACAAAATAGATCAGACCCTCCTAATTGATTGTGCACAATGAACAAGAGAGTTTTGCTGTGCATAGCTTCATGGGGCTGATGTCTATTAAGAATACGTTGGATGCTGTCATGCATCTGAGTTGAATGTGCCCTCAACAGGGTCTGGTGGCTACTTTAAAATTTCCCATTCATTAAAAATCGCCCTTCAGACCTCCAAAATGTGTAGTCATGATAAGGACATGAAGAGTGTAGGCGATATGATTTCAGGCTGAATGATGAAAGCAGCTCTGTGCTTTGAATCTTGCGGTTCTTATCAAGTCCTTTAACACTTGAGACTTATTTTTTTGTGTCTGTGCTTATAAATAAAAGAAATGTCATCATCAATCATTTACCGATTCTGTAGTCTCAAATAAAAAAGGTTTTGTGTGCAAGAGTACTTAAAGCACTGTAATTTCCTCAGACCTGTAGGCATTTTTGCCTCTTGCTTTGTTGTTGGTGGCATTGTCAAGCCACTACATTCGTGAAATGAGAAAACAGATCGGTTACTATGAGAGAAATGTAAGAGATGAACTTATGCACGGAACAGACCTCCGTGCCATCCAATCACTTCTGGGATACAAACAAAGGGGGTTACAGGACTAACTGTGTTTATTTCCTAAGCAATGATGGGCAGAAGACCTTGTTAATGTATTGGAAAGAAGGCCATAATTATGCTGATCACCTTCAGAAATGCAGTCAAAGATTCACTGAGGACATATGGGAGCAGAAAAAGAAGAGCTGACCACCAAGCCTGTCTTGCTTGTTTGGTCACTAGTAGTTCAATGCTCCAAGGAATATCATATAGCTCCTTAGAGGATTTCACAGAGTGAGCTTTAACAGTTGGATTGAGAGAAGTGGAGTGCCGGCTATAAACTTACTCTGTGAGAAACTGCTTCCTGGGTTCCTAAGTTTAGATTTAATTTACAGTTGTGTCCCCAGGTCCTTGACTTTTTGCTGATCTTGGAGAGGGGGAAAAAAAAACACTTCCTGACTGGACTTGGTCAATGCCCTGCAGGATTTTGAAATATCTGGATCATGTCCCAGTGTAATTTCTAGGCTAAAACGTGTTACATTCCTCTCCCACCAGGGTTTTTTGTTTTTCTGGCTGCTACCCTTTGTTACTGCCTCCGGAGCAGCTTACAGGGGAATTAAGAAAAACAAAAATGGTGGCAATGTTTCGACTGAGGTCTAGCCAATTCCTTTTATCATTTTAACATGACTTCCTTTAATTTGGGTTTTACACTCTCAGTTAACCAAGCATTTTGTTAGCCTTTTTTTTTTTAAACGTCATCGCCGCCACACCTTTTAGA